AATGGAATTTAAATTCCCTCCAACAAAACACTTGTAAGGGGCAGGCTCTGTTTGGCAGAGCTTATTTAGGAGCTTATAGTTTATTTTAAGCTACTAATAAGCTATAAGCTCTGTTTGGTAATGCTCCTAAAATAAGCTCCTAGCTTAAAATAAGAGCTTATTTTGGAACGCTACCTTAGGTAACGTTTCAAAATAAGCTCCTAGCTTCCTAACTTTTTTTTTTCCATCCTTATCCTTATTATTTTAAAGAAATGACATAATTTATCCTTCCGAATTAAAACTCTTTTTTCTTCTCCTTTATCCGCAACTTTCACCATAAATATTATTATTATTATTAGTATTATTATTTATTATTATTATTATTATTATTATTATTATTATTATTATTATTATTATTATTATTATTATTATTATTATTATTATTATTATTATTATTATGAGATTTGCAACAATATTGTTACATCATTATGAGATGCTAGATCATGATTATGCTAATAGATTTATTTTAAAATGTTAATTTTTTTTAAAGACAAAATGTTAAATTTTAATATGTAAACAAACTAATTTAAATTTTATGAAGATGTCATTTTTAGTCTTTTTTACATTTATCAGCTTATCAAAAAGCTAATTTTACCAAACACTTTCAATCATAACAGCTAGCTTAACAGCTCTTCTGTTTTCAGCTCCGAGCTTATAGCTTTTCAACTTTCAGCTCCTTTTCAGCTTTCAGCTTTCAGCTCCTAGCTTATAGCTTTTCAGCTAGGTTTGCCAAATAGAGCCTTAGTTCACGGAATGTTAGATTAGCTTAGAGAATGTAAGATGGCTGAGAATGTTAGATTATTAGGAATGTTAAATTCATGTGTTTGGTTTAAAATTAAGGAATGTTAAAAGTGTACTTTTATAATTTTTTAAGTTAATTTTTGAATTGCACTTTTAACTATCAATGAATACACTTTTGTACTTTTGCGAGTTTGCATGCTTGCACCTAGGTGCACATTCTCACCTGATCCATTATATATATATATATATATATATATATATATATATATATATATAGAGAGAGAGAGAGAGAGAGAGAGAGAATATTATATATATATATATATATATATATATATATATATATATATATATATATATATATATATATAGAGAGAGAGAGAGAGAGAGAGAGAATATTATTATTGTACTTTTAGTATCATAGAACATAAGGTGCTTTGTAGTTTGCGCATTGCAATTTTGTGAGTTCGCACCTAGACACACATTCTACTCACATTCTCATTCAATTTATTATATATTATACAAGGAGCTGGTTCTGGTGTGAAAAATGAGTTGAGATCTGAGCTGTAGATTAGTATTGATCGAATAGACTAAAGTTGAGGGGCACGTCTTTTAAACTATAATGCTAATTAGGGTTTTTTTTTTCCAATTTTCTATAATATCATCAATAACCGTTTTTGTTAGCCAACTTTGACGGTATCTTCTTTGCAGCCATGTTCCCTAATCTCCATTGTTAAATTGTTTATAATTCTTGAATGTTAATCTATTATTGTAAGGTGCAAAACTTTGAAACTTTGAGTTTATTAATTTGCACCATAAGGTGCATAACTTTGCACCTTAAGGTATACACCTTTAACTGTAAGGTGTAAAACTTTAGAACTTTATGGTTGCATAAATTTGCACCTTTAATTTGGGTGCATAAAGTTGGAAATTAATGTGTATAATTTTGTCTCTTAAGGAGCACACTTATAACCAGTAATGTGCATAACATTGAAATTTCAAGTTCATAAATTTGCACCTTTTTTTTTTTTTTTAAACCAACGAAAAACCACATGCATTAATAAACACCAGAATTGTTACATAGGGAACCGATACAAAACGAGGAATACAGTCAAAATACTCCATTCTATCCTCCCCTACACAATTTAGAGCTCTCTTGGCTAAATAATGAGACACCATAACACGTTGGCGACGGACATAGCGAAAGGTTACCATAGGCAACTGACATAAGAGCTCACGAATCTCGTCCACAATTAAGTCAAACAGTGAGATGTTGGCTCCCCCCGCCACCGCCGTCGTGACTAATTGAGCATTAGTTTCAAGGATTACCCTCTCCCATCCCCTATTCTTTATCCAACTAAGAGCCTCCCTTGCTCCCATTGCCTCAGCCTCCTTAACCATATACAGTCCCTGCTTAGCAAACATCACCACCCCCATAACCGACCCATCCCAGTCAAATATACTCCACCCAAAACCCATGCGCCTATTCATAGAGTCCATTGCAACATCTATTGTTATTCGAAGCACTCCAGGGTAATAATGAGCAACCTGTGCCTCTTGGGACTAGGCAAAACGGCGTTCGTAGACTCTCCTCCATATCCCTTATTCTTTCGCCAATTTTGGGCATACAACAACGCATAGCACACTATTGTTTGTGGGTCAGTTTCCTTCTCCTCCATAAATTTGCACCTTAAGGTGCATATATTAACCTTCTTCTCACATGTGAGTGATCAGAGATGGTTTGAAGATGCAAAGATAACAGGCAACAATGAAAAATATGACTTATGAAGACAATTGCGTAGTTTTGCTTTAGAGTTTTTTTCCTTTTGTACTTTTTACCCCTCAGTGCTCGAATTTAAACAAAATAAATTGTCGTTTAAAATTTCTAATCAATGTTTGAGATGCTTCGATGACCATTGGATGGACGTTTGAGATTCAATCCCAATTTTCACCTGGGAGAATAACCTCATCTGATCTCACACACACACACACGTATGCTTAAGTGAGAACAATGCTTATTGTAAAACGTATCACACGCACACGCACACACGCACGCACGCACGTACGCACGCACGTACGTACGTATGCTCAAGTGAGAATAATGCTTATTGTAAAACGTATAGAATAGTCTCACCCGCCCATCTAGGTTGATCAACGGCAATATATATATATATATATATATATATATAGAGAGAGAGAGAGAGAGAGAGAGAGAGAGAGAGAGAGAGCGATCATATGTGGTCATGTCATTAGGTGTGGTCATATCTGTGTCGTTTAATCAGTTTAATCTAACGGCAGTGGCTAATTCTGAGGATTTTCGCGCGTGGGGGTGTTATGGTAATTACAGTGGCCATTTATAGTGGTCGGGTTCCAGAATACACCAACAGTATTGACAACATGCACCAATAGTGTAATAAAACACACCATAGTGAAACACACCAATAGTGTATTCCCGAATACTGTATGGTGTATTTATTCATATCTAATGGCGCGTTTTTTGTGATGCGTACTTAATTTGTGTATGTTTTTTTTTGTGCATATCATAACATGGATTGTGTATATTTGTATAACAATTGGTGCGGCCGCACTGACTACACGAGAAGACGTTGCCGCACCTGAACTTGGCACCAATGGGAATCTACTAATACACCAGAGTAAGGTTAATAATGCACCAATTACACAAATAAAACACACAACAATGTGATTTTCCCTATTCCGGTGCCTTATGACGAGTTTACCATTGCAGTTCGCTGAGTAAGAAATATGCGCGAAAATACTGGAAGAATCTTGATTAATGTGATTCATTGGATCTATCTAATCTAATGTCATGTAATTGACCATATAACCACACCTAACAACATGGCCACATGTGATCACCCCTATATATATATATATATATATATATATATATATATGAAGGCAATATATATTAAAAACATTTCAAAGTTTACAATAATTATGAAAATAGGGTACCATATTTTTTTGGCTTTTATCTTTATTTTTTAACTATTGATCAATTCAGATGGATGTTGTTAATTAGTGAAATATGAACCCGTGGCCATGTTTTTAACCACAAATTTAGAGTTCAACCAACTAAGCTACTCAAATTATTAGTAATTTATACATAAATATAAATTTATATAACATTTAATGCTATATATGCATATATACATATATACATATAAAGGGGTGAGGTGGGGGGAGTGGGGGCAGCTGCCCCACTGCCCTCATACTAGCTTCGTCATTGCACATCAATGGTGGAATATTAACTCTTTAGGCTACAACAAATGAAGAAAGTATATTGAATAAATACTATATTGTAATACAGTTGATAGTACACAAAAAAATAAAATAAAATAATTCAATATAATCAAATGGCAATATCAATATGGCATGGTGCAGCTCACAGCTGTAATTAATATTTTCAATTGTCAAAGATTCATAATTAATTGTTAGTCTCCCACCATTATCTTAAACTGGCTAACGACGTACGATCGAGTTGCTTTAAAATTAATTATATATTTTTGTTAACTAAATATTTAAATTTATAATGAGATTATACATGATTGATGCTTAGCAAGTTGAATACTTTTTAATGAGTTAAAAAAATAGATATATACCAATTTGAATAATGTGTTTTGTTTCAATTAAAATTTTAAATTGATAGTGAAATTGTGTGTCTATTTAATATATCGAGGTAGGATCACATGAGAACAATGCTTTTAGTAAAAAATGTGAAATAATAACAATTGTTCATCTGAATTGATCAATAGTTAAAAAAATAAAGATCAAAAGAAAAAAATATGATACCATTTTCGTAATTATTGTAAACTTTGAAATGTTTTTAATATATATTGCCTTCATATTTTTTGTCATACATAATGCAAGACTATTTAGAAAAAGCCTATAATAAATAATAAAGTAAAATATAATAATAAAAATTACTAAAATAAAAATAATATAATCCGTATAAATTATTCATTTTATTTTAACAAACAAGACTAATATTTTTTAATTTGTATTATTTTATTGACTCTTAGCTTATTAGATTATATATATAATCATACCCTAATTCAATTCTTCAAAAACACAAAAGCCACGTGATTTTCCATCTTAGATATCTATGTTAAAAAATAGTCCGTATTATTTAGTCCGATGTGTGTGTTGGAAGTGACGGCAGACAAAATTAGTACACAGACGAGACGACCATTCGCCATTGGGCATAGCCAAAACCGTCGACTGGCTCACATGAGCGCTGCCCTGCCCTTTTCATGTTTTCAGAGCCGACTTTACGTCGGCCACCAAACCCATCCAAATTGGTGACGGCAGCCGTGACAAAACCACCTCCCGTGCGCGGGCTGTGTACGTGGTCTCCCCTCATTAGTCCGTCGCTGTTTCTACAACCCACTCTTCCTCACGGTCAATGGCGGCGGTCTGACCAACCCCACCACTCCCCAGAAAGCTCGTCTCGACTTTCCAGATTACGCACCGGTGAAATTTACCACGTGTGAAATTGCACTACTGCGCCTGCTCAATCTATCTCATTCTCTTCGCTCGTATAAATATACCCGCTTCCTCGCATCTTCCCCCATTTCTCTCCCGAGTTCCACTGAAGAAAAGAAGAAGAAGAAAGAAAAGATGAAGAGCACCGGCGGAATTCAGGATAGTAAGCAGTCACAGCTGGAGTTACCTCCCGGTTTCCGGTTCCATCCCACCGACGAGGAGCTGGTGGTGCACTATCTCTGCCGGAAATGCGCCGCCCAGTCTATCTCCGTTCCCATTATCGCCGATATTGATCTCTACAAGTTCGACCCCTGGCAGCTTCCCCGTACCCTACTGGCTACTACTATTCAATTTCAGTAATTAATTATTATTATTTTCAAATGTATTTACAGTTTGTGAATTTCAATTTTGAATGCAGAGAAGGCCTTGTACGGTGAAAAAGAGTGGTATTTCTTCACTCCTAGGGACAGGAAGTACCCGAACGGTACACGGCCGAACCGGGCGGCTGGGACCGGGTACTGGAAGGCAACCGGAGCTGATAAACCCGTCGGAAAGCCCAAACCGTTAGGGATAAAGAAGGCGCTGGTTTTCTACGCCGGGAAAGCCCCTACAGGAATCAAGACCAACTGGATTATGCACGAGTACCGCCTCGCCAACGTCGATCGTACCGCCGGCAAGAGAAACAATTTGAGGGTATATATATTCCTTTTTCTTTCCAACACTAATTACTAATTCTATAATGAAACAAATTTACTCTAGTTTATTAGTGAAAAGATTCAAATATTATGACATTTATATAAAATAAATCTTTGAAATCTGATGATTTCAAATGAAAATTCAAACTTCTATACAAAATTTTCAATTTTACTATACGCCTTAAAACTCCATCTAGTTGGATTCAATGCTTCATTAGTAGCTAATGAGAAGATATTGGTACTGTTTGGTAAAATAGTTAGCTTATAGGTCAATTTTGACTTATTTAATCACTATTAGCTGTTTGAGTGTTTGGTTAATTAACTTTTTTAATTCCAAAATGCTAAAATTCAAAAAGCTGTTCAAAATAACTTTTTCAATTAGTTTTTTTAGAAAAGAAATTATACCAAACAGCTATTAACAGAGCTAATTTACCAAACACCTTTTTACAATCAACTAATGTTATTAACTAGTTATACCCACTAATTAATCCAAGCTTAATTAACCCAATCCGCTAACAGCTAACAACCATTTACCAAACATGGCCAATAGATCTACTGTCAACTAATGGGCTAGTCAAAAAGATATATATAGATGTGAATTTGATTTTTGCCAACATGGGTCGAGCAAGTAGGGGTTTTTAGTGTGATTTACTACTAATGTATAGTTTGCAAGTTATTACACAAGAGTGAGACGAAAATATAGATCCAGTCAAATTCTCTTTGGCCAGTGGATAGCCAAACTAGATATTGATTTTTCAATATAACAATCTTTTTACAGGAGTTGTTCAAAATGGAGTTTGAGTTAGAGATAAAAAAAAAACACACACACACACATGCACAATAGAGCAAATATTAGGGCCGCATGGACTGCTCTGTCGGGTTTGGGATTCAACTTTTTGGAAAGAATAGAGCAAATATTAGTAGTTCATGTTTTATATGAGCTTTAATTTAAGTTTAAGAAATGGTGTTTTCTGATTACAAATGTTAATGTTACAGCTTGATGAGTGGGTACTATGTCGGATATACAACAAGAAAGGCAGTGTTGAGAAGTATTACCTGAATGAGAAAGAAGTGAATTTCCCAGAATTGGAAGATGAGAAGCCCAAAATCACTACTACTCGAGCTGCCCTGCCCCCTGTAAACAATCAGAACAACTCGAGCTGCTGCTCGGAACAAGTGCAGTCGTCTGGCTACACGGAGGTAGAAAGCGCCCCCAAATGGGACAATTTCATGGACATTGGCCTTCAAACCACCTTCCCTTTCCCCTCCTCCGATCACTACTTCAATGACTTCAATCCATTTCAACAAGACATGCTCTTCATGCACCAACCCCACAAATCCCCTTTCAATTTGTGTTAGTTAATACACATTATTCAATCCTGGGAACGCATAATACCATGTTCTTTGTAACTATGGTGAAACTAGGATAGATATTATCTGTAATATTCTTTTAGGTAACTTTATTTCTTTCATATATGTTGCACTATGTTATGTGCATGTAAAGAAAAATATAACTGTAAGAGAGACAGAGATTGTGTCAATGTTTAAAGTAGTTGATAAAAGCAAAACATTTGAGGCTACTTCCAGTTTAAGGGGTATCATAACCAAGTTTTGTGAAAATAATTCCATCTCAAAGTAATCACAGACCCTTCAGTTTAAGATCCTAACCCTTCCATCATCAGAACCGCTGGTTATTGTAAACATCCCAATATACCTGCTTCAATTAACCAAAACATGAAGCTAAGGTAAGTAACTCAAGGATACTTTAAACAGTATATACTTCATTTTCTATCTCATGGCTGATGCACAAAAATATTAATTTGAACCAAGATTTGTTTGAATCACTGGTTTAGGCTGATTTTTGACCTATCGGTAGACTTTTCCTCGCAAAAGTCCTAGACCAGTCTCGTCCCCTACGGACTTAATTTTATATTAACAAGCAAAAGGTTTGTTCTGACAAGCAGTAAGGCTACGTTGGAGATTCTCCCACAAGAGTGCTATGTACACACTACATAGATTAACTTATCTAAGGGGAAAGTCCTAACCTAGCTCCGTGCTTGGTAGAGAAATCTGTTCCCATGATTGAAATTCATCATACTTAGAGACCATAACATACATTATAAGACAGACACCCAAATGCAGTAAACAAAAATACAGATGCTAATACTCACCCCCCACCTCAAAATTAGAGATAAGTAAAACAAGGATTCATTCTTTATAACTGTTGAGATTAACAAGAACAAGAAAACAATAATAATGGCAGAAAGGTAAAGAAGACAAGATTTACGTGGTTCGGCAATGTACCTGATCCAAAGGATAGGGTTTCAAACTGATTGAGCAGACTATATATCCAGGAAAAGGTCAGTGAAAGAATAGTCCCCCTTGAATTGCCAGACAGACAGAAAGGCTTGGCGCCGAGTGTGCTGTGGAGGCATGAATGCTAAAGTTCTTGATGTGTAGGTTGATTCTGATAGAGAGGGCTATTGAAAAAAGGGTCAGTCTACCATTCATCAAAATTTCAAGAAAAAGGTATCGAATAGTAATAATTATTAATGGAGCACAACAAACATCATCAAAGGCATAACAAACATAAAACTTGCCACATCTTTTATACCTAAAATGGTATAGTTGGAATACCAAAACAGTTCATAGCTCTCTACAACATACTTTTAAATACAAAAGTCAACTTTGGGCTTAGATCATCTTTATTATATGAGTGAGTATATAGATAACGCTGCACTTGCTAGTTGACAAATAAGAAAGTGTAGTTCTCTATTTACATCTGAATATTGGATGATTTTGGTGGCTGATCACACTTGGCAGGAGTCCATCCAATTGATTTCTTCTCGTTGTCATAAATCACCATTTTATCTTGCATTGATATGTCTACACAACACAACACAACAAACAAATGTAAGGAAAATTTCTTTATACCATCATATCATATTACGTTGGTCCAATCTTACCTCCAATGATGTTAACATCGTGCAGACCTGCTTCTGAACCATTTAGAACCCCCAAACAGACATTACCCTTTGACTACACCAAAATACCATCACCAAATGAGTCATCAAAATACCATGAATCAGAACAAAATAAAGATAATTTTGAAGCACTTACTGAGATGATAAGATATGATTCTGGGGGGATCTCAAACTCAGATCTGCCCTTCCACCCCTTGGCAAAGCTCAGTGCGTAAGGTTTGAAATATTGCTTGACATCCTGTACACTTTTGAAAGCCTTCCTGCCCTTCCAGCACAGTGGGAGAGTATTGTCATCGTTTGCTTTTCTCAAGGGTTTGCCACTCAGTTCTTTCTCGACCTATAAGCACAAGTAAAATTAGGCAAGTAGTAGGAAATAAAATTTAGAGGTTGTCAAGGGTGAACTACAAATCTGCAACCCACCAAGGAAATAAAAGCTTGGTATGGTTCAAATTGCAGATAGCTATAAGAACTTCCACTGTCAAAGATTACAAGGAGATTCTTAATCCCTGTACTAATACCACCAAAATTTAGCTCTGCAGATCCTGGTGAGTAGTGCTTCCTGTCATGTACCATCATTAGACAAGTTTTGTATGAGAACTAAAGTCAGGCACAACCATATAAAATAAAGGAAGTGTGTATAGACATATCATGGCTGTATAAAAAGCACATTACTCGTAATCACGTGACATTGATGTCCAAACTACTTGTGAAGCATCATAAACTGCATCCCCAAAGAAGAGATATCCTCCTTGCCTACTCAAGCAATGCCCAACAACATTTTTTACCAGACCCTTTTTCTTGAGCTGTGACAGAATGCTGGTTGGTCCTTTCCCAAGTCCAAGTACTCCATCTAAAGGATGGTAAGACTGGCCAATTTCCTGATCATATCCACATCTGTAGCAATGGAAAAAATCCAAGTCAGTATATAATGTTGGATTTGTACTATCTTTCTTTTGTCAAATTAAATTCAGGATACTAAGTTCAATTTAAATTTAAGGATACAAAAGGAAACATGTCCCAACATCGAATTAAAAGTCGCTTCTAAAGACATGTAAAAGGCGGTTAATATAGAGCAACATAGTATGAAAAACACTGACCCAAGAGCTAGATGAGGAGCAATCTGAACTCCATTGGTGAGATTGAGGGAAAAGACGTCATTAAGTAGGATACCAAGGGATGAACCCCCATCTGCATACTGAACGTCATAATCACATTGTTCTAGAGTTTCGCATTTCTGATCACCCGAATGCAATGAGGCACAGAGAGGATCCTTACAACCCACAAGGTCATTATTGGGTTTGTAAGGGGGGTGAGGCGCCTGCAATTACACAATTACACAATTGGATTATACTATACAAACTATCAGCTCTTTAGAGTGAATGAAAAATCGTTACAAGAAAATTAACCTTTGTGCAACGGAGACAAGGAGCATCGCACTGAAGCCATGTAAGGTCACTGCCTGTGTCGGGATCAAGAAAATACGGCTTTGGAGGCTGCCCTATATTCACTTGAGCAAAATAAAAGCTGCAATACACATTTTAACCCCAATCAATTGAATGCACAAAATGTTTGATCAAATTTGCAACAATAGTCTTCTATGTATTCTGAAATCTGAAAAATAAGTGAAAATATAATCATGTGCTATATATAGATACTATCAATCCTTGAAAGAGTAAACTCTTGAAAGAGTCTTTCTGTATTATACAAGAACTGAGAATTTCTCGGATGAGTATAAACCCCAGTCTGTATCAATCTACTGGCAATCATTTTTCTTTAGCATCCATTCTCTCTAGCAGGCATAAATTTTGCTTCAGAGATAGACATGTGAAATGATGCATTCCAAAGATCAGAGAATAGCATACCCATTGGGATAAACATTGCCGTGCAGTTGTAGGATAATAGAAGAAGCGCGGGCGGGATTGACCGCCGACAGAGAAGAAAAGAGTCGTCCGGAATCGCTTATCGCCGATTTCCACCATTTCTCCGCCGCGGATGACACGATCAACACCCCAAAAATTATCAGAATTGCCAGTTTCATCCCCCTCATACCTCTGTCTTAGCAAACACCCAACACTTGAAGAAGAATCAATCAAGATTGGTTCTTCTTGAAATGCCCTTCCCCGCAGAACACGTCCGATTATCTTTCCTTCTTTTATCTGAAAAGTTGATTGGATTATTGGGAAAGGTCTCAAGATTTTCTTTGCTGATTCCCTCCATTAATAGGCGTCGACCTCGACGAAAGTCAAGATAGTGATTAGTGAGCATAAAGAAATTGGTACGACTATGACTATTTGGCGATTGGTTTTACAGTAGTAATTAACGGACTAGTAGAAAGCTAGGAAATTTCTACCCACTTTCTTCCGCGCTGTTGCTTTCTTTGTGGGAAATGTCATTTGTTTCAGTCGACAAGAACATGGTAAATCTTGTTGAGATACGTCACCCTTCAGTTTGGCAACCGTTATGCTATGAAATTGTGTACGCCTTGTCAACACGGCTCTATGTTCATAACTACTGAACTATATATTCATAATTATTGAATTTTATATTCACAATTACAAAATTTTATGTTCATAATTACTGAATTATATTTTTGTAATTATAAAATTATATATTCATAATTTTTGAACTTCATATTCACAATTATTGAATCTTTATATTCATAATTACAGAACTATATGTTCACAACTCTATATTCATAATTATAAAAGTATATATTCATAATTTTTTTAACTATATATTCATAATTATGAATAGTTTTAGAACCCTGTCCACCTTAAATATAGAGCAAGCATGGTTAGCACATTGTTTGGGAGAACTACGGCGTGATTAGAATAGTTGCTACTGATTTTGATTTCAACTAGTGTTTTATCAGTGTGATTTACGAAAGAAATTATGTTATTTATTAATTTAAATAAAAATTTAAAAATTATAAAAGATGTTAAGATATACAATAGAATAATATAGTTGGCCTATCATATATTTTGTCAAATATTTATTTTCATAGTGTATAAAATTAAAAATAAAATTAAAATTTGCATAGATAATATAGTCCCTAATCATGTACATATTTAGAAAAATTTAAAGACAAAATTTATATAATAAAATTGATTTATTCCTACCTTTATATCGTATATATTATAACTCCAACAATATGAATAATACTGACAGAGTAATGGTACTAGCACCGAACTCGGATCACCAATAGACATCTAACCCGACACCACATAGAATTCCAACCGGCAGAACTCCAACGGGTGGAAATATTATGACCATTCATTGCATTGAAGGGAGAGAATTAAAGCCCCGACGCCTCATTCATGACTCTTCATGTTATTGTCGTTAGCATATGCTCCCCAATTATGACTCTTCATATTGTTACCGTTAGGACCCAGCATAAATAGAACTCCCTCAACTAGCAAAGGGGGAGGTTCAATACTCTGTACTAGGACACACCATATTCTGTATTGAAACACTCATCAATACAACTATTGTTACTCACTTACACAAAATAATATTATCCGGTAACAAACCGTCATTGTTGTTTTCATTGAGAGCCTGAGTCCAACACTCAAGCAGGCGACGACACACACAACTCTTTCCCTCTTCCAACACCAAGCTTGAAAGAATGGCGTCCCGCAGCTCCCACGGTTCCCACAACGTGAACAACGGCAACGCCATAGGTGACCTCCGGGGCCAACTCACCAACAATGGTGGAGGGGACCTCCGAGAACAGCTCAACAACGGGAGACCAAGGGACCTCCAAGAACAGCTCAACAGCGGGAGACCCGGGGACCATTGAGACCAACTCAACAATAGAGGGGCGAACCAAGTCGTGAACCTCCAGGCGACCGCCGAAGCCATTCAGCAAGCGGCGACGGCGCTAAATCAGGCGGCGGCGGGATTGCAAGGCCAAGTGGCCCCGCCGCGACCTCAGGAAATAGAGGTAAAATCCTCGCAGAGGATAGATGCCCGGCAACGACAGGACACAACCCGTGCAGCGAGGGACGCAGGGCGTCATACCAGGACAGGGGGTCCAGAGGAGGGTACCCAAAGAAGTGGACCGGCCAGACGGCGACTAGAACCCTCCCACTCTACCCTTGAACGATTGGGACACAGGGCGCCCGCGCGGCAAAGATTAGGATCACGGGCCGAGGGGTCCTCTACTAGAGGCCCTCGCCGACACGAAAATAGAGAAGCAGAGAGATCACCAATAGAGAAGATGGGCGAGTCTCGTGAGCCGGCCCCATGCCAGCACGTTGATGAGTCGGCCCTACGTCGACACTCGGATGAACGTCACGTCGATGAGCTGGCTCCACGTCGACACTCGGATGAGCGATGCATCGATGAGCCGGCTCCGCGTCGACACTCGGATGGACGGCACGTCGATGATCCGGCTCCACCCCGACACTTGGGTGAGCGGCACGTCGATGAGCTAGCTCCACGGCGACACATGGATGAGCGGCAGTCGGCCCCGCGCCGGCACCCTGACGAATCGGCCCTAGTCAAGACGCTGTAAAGAAGAATCAAGGAGTTAGCAAGACGGGTGGAGGCACGGGAGCATTCGCTGGAACCCGAGGTACGGATGGCAGCACCATTCTCCCCAAGTATAATGGACGTACCTTTGCCGAGGGACTTTAGGCTGCCCGCCATCAAGGCGTACACGGGGGCTACTGACCCGCGTGTCCACATGACGAGATACAAGGCTGCTATGGTATTGATCGGGGCAGGGGACGCCGTCATGTGTCGAGCATTCTTGTCCACCCTGGATGGAGCGGCCCAAGACTGGTTCAACACCATCCCGGATGGGTCGATCCAAAACTTTGGGGAATTGTCCAAGAGCTTCGTGACATACTTCTCCGGTAGCATACATCGTAAGAAACCCTTCTCTCACCTCTGCGTAGTAAAGCAAGATAGAGGCGAGAGCCTCAAAGACTTCCTGAACAAATGGAAAAAGGAAGTCAATAATGTCTACGACTTCGACTCCAAGGCGGCGATCCCGATATTTATCCATGCCTTAAGATCAGGGTATTTCCACAAGCAGCTGAAGCTCATCAACCCCGCTCTTACGAAGATTTGATGAGGACAACCAACCGTTATGCAGAAGCAGAGGAGGTTGATAGGAAGAAGAAGGATGAAGAAGATGGTATAAAAGGTGGGAAGCCTGGGAAAGCTAGCTCGCCCAGCCAGGCACCATGCCCAAACCACTCGTCCGCAGGGAAAGACCGAGACCACGAGCGACCTCGCCTAGTCCCCCTACGTAATTTAACCGTGCTTACCCATCCTGTCAGTGTCATTTTGAAGCAAGCTGAGGAGATGGGAATAGTAGAATTCCCGTCGGAGTGCATGAAGGTCTCCCCAAAGGCAGACCAAACAAAGTATTGCAGGTTTCATAGGCAAGCCGGCCACGATACGGATGAGTGTCACGTTTTGAAGAGATAAATAGAGGAGCTCATTCAAAGGGGATACTTCACTCAGTTTGTGAAGCATCCAGGGCAACAACAACAGCATTGGCAACCCATGAACAAAAACATGTGGCGAAAGGGAGAGGGCCCTGAGCCATCCTCTCCTAACTCGAAGAGGGGGTATGAGCAAATCATGGAAGAAGGAGACAAGGAGCTAGAGGTGGAACCCGTGCAACGCAAAAAGCATGTTATTCGCTAAAACACGACAAGATCAATAATATAATTATTGATGTAACTATTGTTCATGGTATGCCCTGATCGATTGTGTTGAATAAGGAAAAAATTCCATGGAGCCCTTGTGTTAGTAAGGTAGGAGGCATGTCATCATTCACCATAACCGTGACAGGAAACAAACAAGGGAGGCCACGCACCTCGACCTCTACCACGGTCCTCGGCCATGGTAGCGGAGGCTGTGTATTAATTACCGCACTATACTCCCTAAGGGCCGGCACTGGATCCGGTCCAGCTAGCTACCGGACGGAAGGGCGTTTCTTGGTCAAACTCAAAGTTTGGTTACGAAAACGCTATCCCCAAAGGAATAGTACGACTTCTAACCTCGCTCACTACTCTACGGGAGAGCCGACCTTTGACCAAGCCTACCACATGTCGAAGTAAGCTACAAATCTCTACCATGGTCATCGGCAATGGTAGCAGAGGCGGTATTAATTACCGCACTCTACTCCTTAAGCGTCGGCACTAGATCCGGTCCAGCTAGCTACCCGACGGAAGGGCGTTTCTTGGTCAAACTCAAAGTTTGGTTACGGAAATGCTATCCCCTAAGGAATAGTACGAGGTCTAACCTCGCTCACTACTCTACGGGAGAGCCGACCTTTGGCCGAGCCTACGGCCTGTCGAAGTAAGCTACGAACAAACACAAAAAAAAAAGAAGAGGCCGAGGCACACTCCTCGGCCGACATCAGCTGAGGCGCTCGCCTCGGCCAGCGTTGGCCGAGGCCGGCCTCAGCCATCATCGGTCGAGGTGCACGCCTCGACCAACATCGCCTCGACCCACATCGGCCAACATTGGCAGAGGCGCACGCCTTGGCCGAGGCCCCGCACCTCGGCTAGCATATAAGAGGTCCCGTGCCTCGGCCAGCATCGGCCGAGGCGCACGCCTCAGCCAAAGTTGGCCGGGGCGCACGCCTCAGCCAACGTTGGCCGGGGCGCACGCCTCTGCCAGCATCGGCCGAGGCCCCGCGCCTCGGCCAGCATCAGCCGAGGCACCCGCCTCGACCAACATCGGCCGAGTCCCTGCGCCTCGACCATCATTGGCCGACATCGGCTGAGGCCCCGTGCTTCGGCCATCATTGGTTGAAGCCCCGCGCCTCAGCCAGCATCGGCCTAGGCGCCCGCCTCGGCCAACATCGGCCGAGGTGCCCGTCTTGGCCAACATCGGTCGAGGCCCCGCGCCTCGACCATCATAGACCATCATCGGCCTCGGCCCCGCGCCTCGGCCATCATCAGCCATCATCGGCTGAAGCTCGCCCAGGGGGATTTTGGTTAAAAAAAATAAAATAAAAAATGAGAATCTTTGATTCAGTTTTACTCCCAAGTCAACTCAAACACATCAGTAGACTCGGGAGTAGGGGGGCTGGTGACAGAGTAATGGTACTAGCACCCAACCCGGATCACCAACAGGCATCTAACCCGACACCACGTAGATTTCCAACCGGCAGAACTCCAACGAGTGGAAACATTATGGCCATTCATTGCGTTGAAGGGAGAGAATTAAAGCCTCGGCGCCTCATTCATGACTCTTCATGTTATTGCCGTTAGCATCTGCTCCCCAATTATGACTCTTCATGTTGTTACCTTTAGGACCTATCATAAATAGAACTCCCTCAGCTAGCAAAGAGGGAGGTTCAATATTCTGTACTAGGACACGCCATATTCTGTATTGAAACACTCAGCAATACAACTATTGTTACTCACTTACACAAAATAATATTATCCGGTAACATATTTACCGTCAAATACCTAAGAGAATTATATATATATATATACATATATATATATATATATATATATATATATATATATATATATATATATATAGGGTGAGGATAAGTGAGTACATATTCTTAGGTGAGGATGTGAGGATTAATCTAGACCACTAAATTAGAATAAAAGTATGGCTGAGATTAAAAGGAACAAATCACATGGATTAAAGAAACAAATACCTTTAAAATATTTAAAAATATAAATTTATGGGTAAATTAGAATCTGTGCATTACTATACAAAATATTTGTGCATTACTATACAAAGTATTGTGCATCGATAAGTCTAAAGTTGTGCATTCAAACACCACCTAAAAATCCTACAGTGGACATTTCAATGTCCTACGATGTACTGAAATATGTGCACTAATGCACAACTCACCAGCCCACGGTGCACAACTTACAACACTAGGTTGCACAACCAGCACACACGAATGCACAATCGTACTATCCAGTCATTTGTACATATACACGATC